TTTTTTTTTTTTTTCATTCTCTAGCAAATACGACACAGCAGTTTTTAATTTTGCTTGACGCTGATATTTTTTGTAATAAACATGTTTATCTTTAGAATTTTTTTGTTGAGTCTTCAAAAACCTGATAGTTAGAAGTAATTCTGAGTAAGGTAAAACTGTAACTTAGTGACTGTTCAGAAAAGTCGTCCACTTTGAACTTTTTTACAGGACATTATTTCAGACTAATTTTTTAGATTCTTTTACTAACAAAGGTTTTATGACCAACTGACATTATGCAACCGATTTTTCAGCATCGCAATTTGCTGCCTTGTCTAATTCAAGAGTGCCTTTATGAATGTAACCTTCGTTTAAATGATCTGAACGGAATAGCAGTAACTTCTAGACCGGGACTTGTTGTCACTTTGAAAGCAGGGATTATGCAAGCTATAGGTTTGGCAAGGTTTACTATCAGTTTTATTTTCAAAATCATTTTATTGGAACGCATTTAGATACCAAATACTTCTCCTTGAATGCGCACTATAGGTGGAGTGCTTAACTTATGGTTTCTTGACAGTTTATGGAATTTTGTGTTAATTCTTTTGAAATAGACAATGGATAAGGATTGGAATCACAATTTAGGAGAGGATTCTTATCGTTAGTTGGTGTTCATCATATGCAAGCGCATGCGACTGTTGCAACTCTTTGCAAAAACACAATTAGATATCCATTCATAGCATTTTTGGTTTCTGGTGGCCATTCACTTATTTCTGTAGCTAATGGTCCAGAAAAATTCGAGCTTTACGGACAAAGCATATGCGGAAGCTGTGGAGAATGTTTAGACAAAGTAACTCGAGCTTTGTTAAGAAAAATGAACATTAAAGAAGAAAGGCATTTTGGTTCTGTTCTGGAAGATATGGCTGGTAGGTTGGTGTTCAGTCAGTTTCAAGTCTGTGTATTCAGTGCTCAGTTAAGTTATGAAGAGTGTTATAATTTACTCCATTGTTTGATGTTCAAAACAGATTTTTTTCCGGCATTCAAGTCTTACCTTCCAGCTAATTTTAAGCTTATACCGCAAGGTAATTGATAATTTTTGAACACTTCAGTTTAAGTCGGTAAATCTTGTTAGTTAAGGAGCAGAAACGAAGGCTCTTTGAAATATCGTATTACTATGCCGTCTTCAAATGGGGCAAATTTTGACTTTGGATCAATCAAAAGTCGGTATTTGTTCCTGCTGGAAAAGTTGTATAACCAAGAGGATTTCGATCCTGAATCATTTTGCGCGAGTGTACAGGTGAGATGATTTCATTTATCTATTTAATTACTTATTTGTTTTCTAAACTGCTTTTAGGGAGTTCAGTTCACTGCAGAAATAATGCTACTTTCGTAACATGTTATTACTTTGTATAATTTGTTTGAACTGTTTCAAATCTTTTGCAGCACTGTGTCGCTGGATACTTGGCTGGTAGGCTGCACAACTTCCTTGAGTATCTTTCCGAATCAGGCAAGGTACGCATGGTTTTCAGCTCATTCTCTCTTTCCTTCTTCATATCTTTCAACTCTTAGTCAAGGTAAGGGCTGATTAACGGAAGCGAACTGGGGCATTTTCTGTGCCTGCTCAATAAATTTATTTTTCTTTTCCAGCTTGACAGTATGGACCGAACGATAGTTTTAGCTGGTGGAGTAGCATCAAATCAATATATTTTAAAAATGCTTCAACTAGTTGCCAGTTTTTATGGCTTCAATGTATTTTCTCCTCCTCCTTCGCTGTGTACAGATAATGCGGTTATGATAGCTTGGAATGGTTCGCTTCTTATTCGTAACGGGTGAATACGGTTATCATTCTCCAGTTTACTAGGTTTAAATAAAATCTCTGATATTAGCAAATAGTATTTTGAGATCAATTTTGTTAAGTTTCTAAACACTGGGTAGTTTTTTAGTGTTTTTTATGTATGAACATCTACGATCTTAGTCATACAAATCATGGG